TAAAAAATAAATATATAAAATGAAAATTATATACAAATTGATTCGAAATTTATTTTATGAGTTTGAAGAATACCCCATATAGGGTATATTGACTTGGTGATAATTGATTATATGCAAATGAAGGCGTGGTCAAGTCCAAGCAGAAAAGATGTCAGCCCTTGCTATCTTCAGCCTGATTGTATATATATAAGACTTGATCCTGCGACTAATAAGAGCCGTAGACTTCATATGCTGCTCGTATAGTTTGGGCAGATCATATTTGCTTCATATGAAATTCATTAAAATTATTGTGTATCAGATTTTTAGGCATATTTGTATAGTCTATTATAGCTTAACAAGTTTGTTTTAGAGGATACCTAAGGATATTTCTTGGACCACGATTGCCTAAAGAAACCTGAGAACAAAGTGTTAAAAATTCTCTTCTCTTAATAAAAACAGGAGTATATTTTGAGTTTTCTCAAAAGTTTATTCAGTGGATCATTAAAGCAAATATTTGGGATATGGTTGTCGACACAGTTAGTTTACTTCTTCTTCAGGAAGGGGCTGAAGACAGCGGGCGCAGCATAGGTAGCAACGGGGGCGGTGTAGGCGGGTGCGGCATAGGTGGCAACGGGAGCTGAGTACGTGGCAGCGCTGTAGACGGACGGAGCGTAGGCGGGAGCAGCATAGGTGGAGTAGGCAGCGGGCACCGAGTAGGTGGTCACTGGAGCAGCAGCGGCATAGGTGGCCGCATAGCTGGGCGCCGCAGCATAGGTGGCGGCATAAGTGGCCACAGGTGATGCCAGGTAGCCAGCCTGAGCGACGGCGAAGCAGAGAGCCAAGCAGATGAGGAACTGCAAGAAAAGAAGTGAGAGAATTAGTGGGTGAAGAGTGAGAGAGAGAGAGGGGGAGACAGAGAGAGAGAGATGCAGATAGCTACACTTACTTTCATATTGTTGTTGATTGGGTTGTTTGGTTGCCTGAGTTGTCAGCGACTGATGCTGTTGGCCAATTGGCCGAACTGTTTTATAGCCCAGCGATCGACTGCGCCGCCTTTGGCCCGAAACAAGTTTGGGGCTTAGGCAGAATTAGAACACAATGAACACGCAATGAGAATTTCGGCAGTACTCTATTTCATTATTATTGTTTATAATATATTATTTTATTGATTACGTTCAATGAACGCGGATGCCGCGCCTTGTACGGAATTCGGACCTACGATAGCCAAATGTTTGACGCGGCGTGTCAAATGGATTAATATTTTCCATTTCATGTTTTGCCAGCTTTTTCTCATTTTTGGCGACAACTCAAACTGGGAATTAAATAATATCTGCGTTTGTTTGACAGCATAAAAGTAAATGACAAAGTGAAAAAGAAAAGAATTGGCAGAAAAGCAAAAGTCTATAAACAGCTTGCAAGAACTGAGCAGGTTTATCAAATTGTTGGTCCATTGAGGTAAGTGTCGAATAAGAGGTGATTGACTGAGAAGTTCTTTATAGTTCTAGAGCTGAGATATACTTACTTAGGCTATCCAAATGTGCAGCTAATTGAATAATTAGATATATTTTTAAAAATATATATTTATATATTTATTCAGGTAAGCTTTAATGCTTTTTAGTTGTTTGCGAAATTTGTGGACTTGAAGTTTTATTTTATTTTAAATGAAAATTCTAAGTATAATTGTTTTATGGAAATGTACATACAAGCATTAACCATAGAAGTGATAGTGGTAAAAGGCAGAAGAAGGCGTGACAGACGATCAAAGCTTAAATCTCTATACGACATTTTGTCGTTATCGATAATAGTCGATAGTTGAATTGCTTACTCTAAGAGTAGCTTGAATACTATATATTAATTATTATATATTATTTACTATTATTCCATCTATATGACAAAAGCCCGCTAAAAAGACCTCTCTGATATAAAGTTAGCTTTCTCTTATTTCAGCTTTACATTTCCTCCGGTTTTTCATCGAATTTCCTTAGAAGTAATCCATATATAAATAGACCATTGCTTTGTTTATATTGTTCTATAACTTTATTTGTGATTGAAGGCAATCGTAAATGCTTATAATAAATATTGAATCGTTGATGCTAGCAATTTGAAACTAGACTACGTTGAACTTACAAATTGATTAATCGAATACAAAATAAATATATAGCTAGAGGCTGACTAAGACGACGGAGAGGCACACTATATAGAGTATGCGTGAATTTAGTGGATTTTACGGCTCGTGTTTGGGTTCGGTGAGTCGGCATCCTCGAAGACAAAGTCCTCCTCCTCTTCGTGCCAGCGCACGCTGCGCTCGTTACTGCTAAATCTGCATATTACAGGGTATCATGTCGATCGTACCATCGTGTTTTGTTTTTGTTTATGATTAGTTATCGGTTGGCAGTACGAGAAAAAAAGTAAGTTCAGAATATATAGACTTTGTCGCTGTGAACACATAAGAATTTGTGTGTGTTTCGATTGTTACTTTCTCTTGTCAAAAATCAAATGAAAGAAAAACAAAATAAACCAAAAAACACATCGAAATAAAATAGTTAATAACGTTGGTAGAACCTGTTCAAGCCGGCCGCAGGAGGGGGTGGCGGAGGCGGCGCACCGCGTGGCGGAGTGCGACGTGCGCTGCAAATGGAAATTTAAAAATTGTTATTAGTTAGTGTTATTATCTGCAGGATGGTGGTATTGCTGTAGTCTTACGCCGCCATAGCGTCAGCGTCCATGTGCGCACCAGTACCATATGTATCGCTCTCGTCCATGTCGAACTCATCGGTACCAGCGCGAGTGCTGTGAAGAGAAGCGGAGAAATAATTGAGATTTTGCCTTTACTGAGACTTCTTCATAGGAGTTGGTATTTAATTAGTTATAAAGCTTGCAATGCTGTAAAGCTTAACAGCCTTAACAGTTTTGGATCCCTGATCACTTGGCAAATAATGTCTTATAATCTGTATATATAATTTCGTTAATTGTTATACTTCTTCTCAAACTAGTATATTAGTCCCATATTTGTCCAAGTGTTGCTTCGATTCGTCTCTTACTGTCTATCTAGATTTCTCTTGTCGCTTTTAAAACTGGAAATATATATCAATATATACTTCTCCTATAAGGATATACGTTCTATATAGCTTTAATCATTAGGGGTATGATAGAAAATGAAAGAAAAGCCATTCTCTATAGTTTTAGAGTTAGAATCAGGAAGCCATGTAAGCAAACCAGTACGGAGCTAAAAATTATATCTATAAAAATTTATTACTTTACAGTCGGCTGCCGCTTGCTTTAGGTAGTTTTTGGCTAAAGAAAAAATATATATAATTGACTAGGTTAATTTAAGCTATAATTTTGTAATTTTGTGAACAAAAATAAACTAATTTTAATTTTTGTTTTGTTTTTTAATATAATTTGTGTATAAAATATAAATTCGTTTATTCATTCACTCATACACTGTTTAACGTGTGGCATGCTCTGTTAACATGTCTGTCAGTTAACATAACCTGTGTATACCAACAGCTAACAGTCTGTTAATTCAAAGCAGTGCAAGCTTTGGCAAAGCAGTTATATTTAACGGATGAGGGCGCTTGAAATGTTTTGGCTGATAAGAAATTGTGGGGCGGGGATTAGTGAAATTTTGTAGGTTTATTTAAAAATGCAAAGACAGATCAGATTGGGTCAGCTAATTGGCTCTCGAATCAGTATCAATTGAAAAATAATTGCTAATAATTTGTAATTGAAATGTGAAATGTTCATTGAGCCGGCATAGAGGCAGCTTTTATTTTTAAAGGGGGAGCTTTGGGGCAACTCACAGACGCTGACTCCGCTTGTTCATAATGTCCTGCACGGCTCGGGCTGTCAGGGAGACTTTGTTACGCAAGCGCATGGGCGTGCGGGGCATGGGCACGGCAGCGGGTATATCCGGATTGACGCTCAGTACGGGCGTGACCGGACGACGAAACGGTTCGCTACCCGATCTATCCACATTGTTACTACGTCTTGAGAAACGAGAAATGAGTCGCATGAGTCGCCTGCACGTGGATTTTAGCACTTACAATTTGGGCTTAATACGCAATTGGGTACGGCTATCCGACTGCTGCCTACGGGTCTCAGCGGGCTGTGGGCGCTGCTCGGGACTGGCGCTGTTCTTGGTGCGCCAGCCACTGTCGCGCTGATCGTCCTCAAAGTCAAGCTCCTCAGTGCTGTGGCGCTGGCTGCCAGCAGCCGTAAGAATAATAATAACAACAGAGAGTCGGGGTCAGCTTTGGGTGGAGTAGATTGGGCTGGGCAAAGAGGGGCGGGGGACTTACAGCGGCGGCTTGACCTTATTACGGGACTGCCAAAGGTTGATGATCTTTCTAGACTGACTGCTCTCACGCTCATTGGAGTTGGCTCTACTGGGCGCACTGGATGAGCCCCAATTGTCATCATCGGGCAAGGTGCCGCCGCGACGCCTGCTCAGACATGAAATGCGAGATGAGTGAAAGCCGATGAGGATGTGTTTGTGCATGCAGATGCGTCTGTGCTTGGGTCTCACTCACAGTTGCTGGCGATTGCGCACTGGCGTATTGATGGTGGCCATTTCACGTGCACGGCTCAGCTCACGCTCACGACTGCGCTGGTCACGCTCTCGCTCACGGCCACGCTCCAGCTCACGCTGCTCCGACTCCTGCCGCCGTTGCTGCTGATGCTGCGGATGCTGCTGCTGCTGTTGGGATGGTCTTGTTGGAGTTGGAGTTGATTCCTCATCGGCTATGTCCAGTGTCTCCTCGGTGGCAGTGCGTCGTCTGTCGCGAGGAGTTATTAGAATTATATACAGTGTTGCTATAGCTATCCCACTCTCGCCCTCTCCCTTCCATTCACTCACAGTTGCGGTCTGGCTCTTGCTGTGCTGCTGGTGCTGCGTTCCCGCTGCTGATCCCGCTTTGCCGAGCTGGTCGTGCGCTGCTTCGGCCGGCCACGACTCTCACTGCGCCGATCCCGATCCCGCTCATCGCTCCGATCGCTTCTGTCGCTACGCTGCCGTCGCTTGCCCTTGCTGCGTGCCTGAGCCCGCTGCATGGCATTCAGCCGCGTCTCTATCGTGATCAGATTGAGACCCACGGGCGTGCCAATCGCCCAGAGCAGCAGCGTCAGGAAGATGAAGAACGACAGCCCATTGACAAAGTCCACCAGATTGCGGCACAGAAAGATGCGACTCGCATCGAACGTATCGTAGAAGGGGCGGCACTTGGTGGTCGTATCGCCCAGCTGTGACTCCATGGTGGCTCGACTGCTGGTCAAATAGGTCTTGAGGCTGGTCGGGCATAGAGATGATGTATGTGCAAGGCAGAAGTATATCATTTCATTACAATAATTTCAAACAGCTCTCAGGGTATTCTTCACACACACACACACATACACTCAAGCATCTGTGCACTCTTGACTTGGTTTGGTCATTCATTCGGCTCCAGCCGAGACATGTATTTACCCTAACTGTGGACCGTACAAGCAGAGATTGCTACTGCTGCTGCTGATGCCACACACACACACACACGAAAAGGGAAATGCAATCATGACACTTGGCAAACTTAATCAAACGATTACGACTTTCAATTATCTGATAAAACGGAACAAAAACTATGTACCACACTGGAGCACTGGAGCTGAGTTGAGATTGTTTGCTCGTTTGTTGGCTTGCCTCTTGTGAAAAGAGCAACACAACAATAAAACAAACACACACGCACACTCACACACACACATACATACAAGTTGGGACTTGTTCAGCCAGAGGCGTAGGGCAAGGCGTGCCAGTTGAGGTTGGCCCCATTGAAAATCACTCAGATTTCAGTGCAATTAACCCGATAATTTCTTGCAAGTGTGTGCATGCGTGTGTGTGTGTGTGCGTTTGTGGCCATGTTGCATGCGGCATGTTGCATGTTGGCTCGCATCGCACTTCCACTTACCGCTCAGTGTAGACGCGCGTCAAATTGTGACAGATCTCGCCGGCCTTGTTCTCCAAATAGCCCTGAATGCTTTTCAAGTGATTGAGCGTCTGATTGACCTGCTTGGCCCAGGGATCCC